TATGCAGCTATGTAACACGAATATGCAATGTCCGTCTACCTTGCAGAAATCCAATTTTTTTAATATATTATAGATAGTTATAAAATACAAATTTATTTACTGTATATAATTCAATTTGTATTGTCTATTTTATTTAAAGTTTTAATCCAGCAAAACTTTATTATCAAAGTTATACGTAAATGCGAAGAAGTTTATAATATATTGTTATTAAAAAGTAAATTCTACAATAATTGCATAGAAAAGACTATAAATGCAAGCATTTGGAGTCATTTCTACGTATTCACTAGTCAAACCCAAAAATTCGAAATGCTGAATGGTTGTCATTCGACATTGGCATTCAATCAACAATCGACAAAAATCCAACATTCAGCACGTCTCCAAGTAATATAACAATTATAGATTTTAACCTCTCTAAATGCACACCCTCTCTAAATGCCAACGATCAAAAACATTAAACATGACGAATTTTTCTATAAAATTCCGATAGTGACGTATATGCAATATGTCACTACCATATGCTTTGCAGACCTAAAGATAACATATATGCTGTAAAGCAGCATTGAAAAAAGATTTTAACGTAGTAAATTTAAATGCACACATTTAATAAACATTTTCTAAAGTTGGCATACATTATAATGAAATATTATAATACTTAATAGCTAGAAAAAAAAAGATTGTGAAGATAAATGTGTTTAAAAGAAAAAAAAAACCAATCAAATAAAATGAATAAAGAATAATTTAATTTGTTCATTAAAGTTATACAAAACTAAATATTTAATGCAATGCAACTAAATATTCTTACGCGAAGCAAACACGCCTTAGAAACGTGAGTTTTGTATAACGATGGAATTTTACCGTTCACACGATGTAGTTGAATGAATATGGTTAATAGCGAATAACGAATAGTACCTGTAGTAGGATGTTCAAATGTATGAAAGTCAATATGAAGTAAAGTTTTTCAAGTTTTGATTAACACATATAGTAAACAAATAAGCCAGGTAACCAATCGCCGAAGTTTATTTATTACCAATAATAAAAATACAATGTATAACAGAGAATAACCATCACTAATTATTTAAGTGAATTCTCGGTTTTAAACTCGTGTAATCATCATGTGGACTAAAAGTCCGAAAAGTTTGAACACAAATCATACGAAAAAATACGTAAATATATAATAAATACGTAACAAGCTCAATGAAAATTTCTGAGTACGTACGTACGTGTGCGATATCTGAAAATGGTAAAATGATAAGTGTGAACCAAAATAGGAAGACACGGCCAGCCACATTAATTAATTAATCAGGTAAGGCATTCAATAATTACTTTTATAGGTATATTTATAATTTATGCATATACGTACATTTCTTTGGTATTTCATTGTCAATAAAATTTGTATAAGAAGTATGCACGTACTAATGTACATATGTAGCCAGTTGTAAGGGATTATTGAATTACTAAAATATAACAATAATGAAATCGATATAGTAATTATATAGTAATTGTGCTTAGAGTACAAACTTTAATGCATTCATGGTAAAGTTCGCCGATAGTGAATGCATATATTTTTAACTTAATGTATTATCGATATGAAACATACATACATTATAGTAAACATATGATAGTAGGATTTGTATTACGTACGTACATACGCCGATACGTACGTACGTACGTACAACTCGTCAATCTCTTTTTAATTAAAGAGATGTTCAGATAACAATATATACAAAGTAAATCAACAGAAATTTATTGAACATTCTCAGAATGACAGAATTTATCCGAGTAAATACATGACCAAATTATGTCAATAATATAAGGAAAAACATAATATTTTGTTTTTTTCTAAATTTAGTAGATATTTAGTTACAATACATAGTGACCTAGACACATTGTTCCTACGTACGTAAATCTTGATTCTTCCTTGAAATAACGATAAATAACGATAAATAACGATAAATAACGATTATCGATCGATTCTTATACATTGTATCATCGTAAGGACCAGTTAGATATAATACAAGTTGATGAGATAATACAACATAACCTCAATAATGACCTGTTTCATGTGAATCTGTTCAACACTGCATTGGTAAACTTATTAATAAAAGAAATAAAGAATGTGCATTTACAAAGAAAGTACGTATGTAATTGCGCATAGTTAGTATGTATTTGCACATACATACGTACGTACGTAGCAGGTAATTAAACAAATAATTAGCACATAATTAACATAACTGCACATATTTGCTACCTCAATTTTCCTGCAGCCCTATTGCTGTATTGATGCAAGTGCACACATCTAATCGATGATGTACCTGAAACGAATACATTCGTAGAGTACGTACGTATGTATTATTACCTTGGAATTAACGTTAACGTCAAAGGTACTGCTGTAAGGTGCCGTATCGGTATGTTCGTACGTGCGTATTCTAATTGCGATATATATGCTTAAAGTTTTATTTCTATGCACTGTACGTACGTACGATACGTGCACAAATTTTACGTTATTTAAAGAACAAAGAATTTCCTAATATAGCAAAATTTAAAATTTGAACTTTGTAAAAATTTTTTGATCACTATTCGTCACACGACGTCACACGACACATTGCGACACATTGTGAACACATGCATGTATATACTATATACTGTACAAAGAACACATGCCTTATGATCACACAGTAAATAATTAGGTCTTGCGTAGAAAATTAATAATCTGATTTAAAATTCATTTTACATATCGATATAGGCATCCGCAGTTTCCGTATCTTTTTTTAGTTTTGGCTATTTTTTTGAATCGCTCCATTCGGTCATTCGCTATCTATAGTGACACACGATTGTGACACGAACTAATGAAAATCTCTGAATTTCAGGGTCTTAATTTTGGAGGGAAAAAGAATGTAAAGTTCAGGTGTAAAAAAAAATGTACAATAGTTAATAAAGTTAATAATATCTGATAGTATATACATATCAGGTATTACCGCATATATTCTATATATCTTATATATTTATTTTTATAGGAACATAATTTTGTCATTATCAAGCTAATAAAACTAAAATAATTGGTAACCATAATTTGGTTACGAATAATGTTGTGATCGGAGAATTAATACCATAAAACTCAAATATAAATTAAAATATATGACGATTATAACAATTACAAAACAACATATCATAATTCGTTCAAACATTGATCGTAATTGATACGTATTTTGCGAATAAAAAAAGACAAATTCATTGCAATTATTTTTTTTTAGTATATGATTGATTTTGTTCCACAAATAATGTAATATGTTGTGTTACACCGGCCATACATACACTATCGCTACGTATCATGAATACGCTATCATGAATTTATCGGTAAAAAAAAAAAAGGGTAAGCTTAAAAAATATTGCCTAATTACTATTTATAAAAGCCACGAAGGTATCTTTTCATTTAATTCTTTCAAACGCGCTCTCCCTATCAATATTTCATATCAATATTGAATTAAAAATAAACAAAATTATAATACCAATTTGATTTTATATAAGTTTTAATTACCAAATAAGTTAAACAATTTTCTTAAGTGGTTAGCGAAGATTTTCGTTAGTACGAAAAACAAATTCTACGCGCACAACTGTAACATTCATTACACTACAGAATTATTCAGGAGCTTTGCTTAATTTTTATTTGCATCTCATTAATTTCGGTTTGGTTTGACAAGAGTTTCCCCGTTTCTATATATAAAAGTTGGTTACATTCAACTTTTTATCCTTGCAGGTTTTTTTTATCGTGACACGGTTTTCTCATTCCTTAACTCTTCTCTCCTCCATTTATTTCCTTCCTTTATTAATTTAAAAAAAAAAAAAAAATCTTTTTCTCTAAATTTTGAATTTTCAAGAATTTTAAAAAATTTTAAAAAATTTTGAGGTTTAGGACATAATTCGTTTTTTTTTTTTTAAACATAATGTCCACTTTATCTTCTCCAACCGCTTCAACATATTCGGGTACCTTTTTTGGCAGCACTGCCAAAAATCGTCCTCCCGCAAACGCATATATTAAATCTCATAAAAGTGTTTCTTTCTCTTACGCTGGTGACAATACTTCTTTTCAACAAGGAATATTAGGTGATTCTGATAGTTATTTAGTGGGTACTTTACACTTAAATTATGGAAAACAATATCAAGTTAAAGATATTACCCTGAATCTCAAAGGCACTGAAAAAACTACTTGGTATAAAGCTCAAGCTAGAACAAAAGCTCTTTATTCGGGTGAACAAATAGTTGTTGATCATTCTCAAGAAATTTGGAGATCTAATGAAAAAGAAATTTTAAATTTAGATGTTCCTTTTAAAATTAAAATTCCTTATAATTTACCTGAATCTATTACTACTGATGTTGGTACTGTTAGTTATGTTCTTCGTGCTATCATTCATCGTAAAGGTGGTTTAATGTCCTCTTCTACTCAAATTGTTGAAGTTGATTGTCCTTTAAAAAGAACTATAATTTTAGATAATTCAAATCTTTCTTTATTTAAACTACGTGGTGAATCAAAAAGTAGTGTAGATTATTCTTTTACTTTACCTGCTAATAAGAATTTCAACCTTGGTACTTATGTTACTATTCCTATAAGAATGAGATTCTTACGTCCTGGTGTTAGTGTTGAAAGAATTGAAGTGGCTCTAAAAAGTTGTATGGACTTTAGATGTAGTAATCCAAATGAAACTCGTCATGTTAAAGAAAATGTTGTCTCTTTGGTTATTGCTCGTCAAGAAATTAGATCTCAAAATATGGATGGTGAATATTCTCATACTATCAACTTATTTATCCCTCGTAGTATTCAACCTACCTATTCTGGTCGTTTTATTAGTATCTCCCATCAATTTTGTGTAAAATTTTGTTTATGGGGTGCTAATGAGGATTTTCAAGTTGAAGAAAGTGTAAGAGTCGCTCATATTCAGGATAAACCTAATAATAATAATAATCAAGATAAACCTATACAGAGTCATACTCCTTCTCCTGAACAACCTTCTCCACAACTCATTCCACAGCATCTTAATAGACCTCCTCATCAACCTACTGCTATGGTTATACCTTCTTCTGATGTTCATCATCCTGAAGTATACCCAACTTATGCTGAAGGATATTATCCTGTTTATCCTGAAGAAGTTGGCACCGCTGTATATTTAAATTATCAAAATGATTATAATTACAAATTAAACCTGCATAATTCTCCACAAACTCATACGGTTGGCGCTTCTCAATATGTTTATAATACTACTCCAAAAGAAGCTCTTGACGGTTATGGTGAATTATATCCTCAAGGTTTCGCTTTAAATTCTAATGACCTTTGGTATAGACAACAAATAGCTGCTATTCACCATCAACAACAATTATATAATAAAAAAAGTCCAAGTTCTGTTCCCGTTCATGTTCCTGTTCCAAGACTTACTCCTCCTAACACTCACTCTCGTAGTACTTCAAATTCTTCACATCTTAATGTTGTTAATATGAATGATAGCATGCTTCCTCCTTCTCCTTCTATATCTCCTTCAAGACTTAATGTCATTAACAATGCATCAAAATTGCCTCCTTATGCTGCACCTGAACAAGTTTACGCTCGTCGTTCTCCAAATTTAACACCTCAACAAATTGTGAATTCGGAAAATCGAAAGGAGAATAAATTGGAAATAAACACTACTCTGCAACCCCTTGAAACCTCTCCACCTTCTTATAAAGAACGTTTAACACCTACACCTGAAGAGGTTTACACGAGAAATTATGTATGAAGTGTATATTTCTGTCTGTGAATTTTTTGTACAAAAGAAAAAATTGTTTTGGTTTTACTCTTAAAAGGAATTAAGGGCATGTTATCTATATATATTTTTTTAACATTCTACATAATTTTATAATCTTAAGTCATAAATATAAAAAAAAAAAAAAAAAAAAAAAGAAAAAAGTTGTAAATAGTTGGTTTTTTTTTTTTACTATATTCTTGTATTTCATTTTTACTCTACTACGTATGTAACATTTCATCATTTTCTACTATATAAGGTACACATCCAAATAGAATCAATTTTCTGTTTTATTATAAAATGTTATAAACAGGTGTACTTTTTACAGAACAATATTTTTTTATATTTTTGATTGAAATATATAACATCGTATAATATATCATATTATGTTGCTAGAAGACTTGATGTTTTAATAAAATAATTTTTACTTATAGGAAAAAAAAAAAGTAAATTCATTATTAACTGGTTTTAACGTTTATAATTTTTTCGTGATTTTATTATTGTTAATTTAATCGAATAATCTGAAAACTATATAATTAAACATATATATTTAGTTTCACTAGCATTCATAAAATTTTCTCACCCTAATAAACGACTTTAGGTGAAAAGCTTAAAATCTTAGACATGACAAAAAAAATGGTGTAAACCACAGTAGTGATTTGACAAATCCCCACCGGATCGCCTGACGGGTGGGCCATATATACCTTGTTCGTCTTTTATGCTCACTGACTGTCTACCATTCTGAAACCTCCCGATAGTAAACATACACTAGTCCACGAGTAATCCGTAGGTCTGACCCACACGAATTCTGGAACGCCAATATCTCAACCCATGTTACATCAGCAAGTTGTTTTTTATAAACTTTATGTAACTCTATAAAATTATATAAATATTATATAAAATTTTTATATAGGTCTACAAACCCAA